AAAATCGCTCAAAAATCGATTTTTCAGCGGTTCGAACCGATTTTTTTTGCATTTCAGGCGCTTTTTTAGGTCGAAATATGTGATTTTTGAATTTTTGGGATACGAGTTTGTTTTATAAGGTAGGATTTGGGACAACGGAAACGTCCTAAATTTCAGGGGAAAATTGCAGTTTTTGGCTCGAAAATCAATTATTTTGACCTAAAAAAGCGATTGGAATGCAAAAAATCCGGTTAGAACCGCTGAAAAATCGATTTTTAGGCTATTTTTAGACCTTTTTCAAAAAATTGCAAAAGTGGATCAGTGGGATTTTCGCTACGAAACTCAACATCCAGGTTCGTTTCCACTCGGTGGCAAACTCTTTTGATTTCTGTGTGAATCATTTTTAGATTATTCTAGAACCTTCTAGGGCTCAAATTTCGGATTTTCAGAATAATCTGAAAATTTCAGAAAATTTTTTNGGGTNGAAATGNTNCAAATTCCCAAAAANGGGGNGGAGAATNGTAGGGAAAATTCCCCCCCTGGGGCCATGTGAATTTTTTAGGAAAATCGCTCTAAAACGTTTGGAAAATCGATTTTAGAGTGGTTTTTCTTGTGTTCTTAGGTTTTTTGGCTCAAAAATAGCCCCAGAGGTGGCCTGAAACAGCGAAAACTCACCCTCTAAGTACCAGAAAGCGGTTTTTCTTCTTTCAGGAAGTGGACAAAATCGATCCAAAATGACAATCGATGACGATCGATCGGCATGCGTCGACTCGTGGTCATCGGTGTTCATTCAGCACTACGAAGATGGTAAAAAAGTTATTGAAGCGACATTGTTGGCAAAAGACCGTATCCGCCCGAACACCCTCTACGCCTACTATGTGGCCACTCAAATGGTCCGCCATCCAGGCGCCAGGAATGGAATCTCGAAAATTGGATTTGTGAGGACGAAATATGCGGTTCCAGACCCCCCAATGGTTCGAGTTGATGCAGTTTCCCAGAATTCTATTAAGTGAGTGCTCTGAAATTGTGATTTTCGTGTTGAAAATCGATGAAAATCAATATTTTTGACCTAAAAAATAGCGTTAAAACAGCTGAAATTGCCAAATATCACTTTAAACCGCCGAAAAAACGAATTTTTAGCAATTTTTAAGCCAATTTACAAAAAATGTCCGAATGGCTCAGTGGGATTTTCGCTACCAATCTCAACACTCGGGTTCGGATCCACTCGGTGGCAATTTCTTTTGATTTTTGTGTGAATCATTTCCAGACTTCTCTAGAGCTGAAATTTTAGGATTTTCAGCAAAATCTGAAAATTTGAGACAAATTTATTTTTGAAAAAAATTTTTTTCGAATTTTCTTGGTTTTTTTGTTGACAATTGCCGCGAAATTGTTCAAAAACACCGAAAATGATGAAAATTCCCTTGAAAAATCGATTTTTGCGCAATTTCCTAAAATTGTACTAGTGACTCAGTGGGATTTTCGACTACCAATCTCAACACCCGGGTTCGATTCCATTCGGCGGCAATTTCTTTTGATTTTTGTGTAGACCATTTTTAGACTATTCTAGAACATCGTAGAGCTCTAATTTCATGATTTTCAGAAAAATCTAAAAATTTCAGAAAAAAATTTTTTTGAAAAACATTTTTTTGCTGAAAAAAATCGATATTTTCAGACTCGTCTGGGATCCACCACACCATAGCAACGGTGACATCACGTTCTACACAATCTCATGGCGAGAGCTGGATATCGATGTGCACGCGGAGGCGATGAGGTTTTGTAATGAAGAGGGTAGGTTTTAGACGATTTTCGGCTATCTTAGAGGTTTTTGGACCCTCAAAACCTGAAAAATCACAAAAAACCAATCTAGAATCGATTTTCCGGGTGTATTGGGCTATTTTTAGAAAAAATGACCAAATGGCTCAGTGGGATTTTCGGCGTTTTCCACTACCAATCTCAACACCGGGGTTCGATCCCACCTGTGGTCAAATTCTTTTTGCTTAAGTTTTTAACCCATTTTAGGTGGTAAAATGTTCTAGAAACTTCTGAAACTCAGAATTTCAGAATTCGGAAAATATGAAAATTTCAAAAAATCACAAATCCAGCATCTAGAAACTTCTAGAACCCCTAAATCTTGCTCTAAACAAAAGCAAAAAGAATTTTAGGCCAGGTGGAATCGAACTTTGGTGTTGAGATTCGTAAATTTCTCGTCCAAAAATCCACTAGGCCATTTGAGCAAATTTTTGAAAAATGGCAATTTTCATGGTTTTTAATGGATTTTTAGAAATTTTAAGGGTTTTTATAGGTTTTTAAGGGTTCTAGAGCTCCCTAGAGCATCCGAAAACAGCTCCACCATTTTTCGTTTTTTTCCAGCTAATTTTGCTCAATTTCCAGGCACCATGGTCGCCACCCGTTATGAAGACGACACGTCGGATAAGCCAGACAAAGAAGTATCGATTTCCATGTACTCCCCGTTCACCAGCAATGACACGTGCTCGGCGTCAGCCGGATGTTGCGCTTGCTCAGCGTTAGCATCCTCTGACGATCGCTCGTTGACGACGCCGGATCCGGATAAGAGGCAAGAGGATGCCAATTTCGAAAATACGCTAATTGATACGCTTTTCGCGTCGGCGACTACGTTAGTTTTGATAGATGGTTGTGTTGGTGGTTGTGTGTGTGTTTCTGGGGTTTCTGAGCGAAAATCCGGTTTCGGAGGCTTTCCAGGCTATTTTTGTGCTTTTGAAGCGCGAAATTTGAGCTAGCTTGAGCCACCTAAGGCTTAGGACGTTTCCAGAGAGTTTTAGCTGTTTTTTATGGATTTTAGGACTTTTAAAAGCTAGGAAACTAGCTATTTCAGACTTCCAGGCTGTGACTTGACTCACTTACACACGTTTGCAGTGCTTTTTTTCCTGATTTTGCTTGATTCCTATGTTCCTAGCAGCATCTAGCATATCACCCCTTTTTTGCCTCTAAAATAGCGATTTTCGAGATGAAAATTGCGGAAAATCGCAATTTCCGATGCCAGAAACAGTAGAGAACACGAAAAATCAATTTGAATCGTTGAAAACTTCGATTTTTGAGCATTTTTGAGCAATTTTCCGAAAAATGACCAAATGGCGCAGTGGGATTTGCAGCCCGATCTGACGACCCGGGTTCGATTCCACTCGGTGGCAAACTCTTTTGTTTTTTGTGTGGATCATTTTTAGGCTATTCTAGACTTCTCTAGAGCTCAAATTTTGGATTTTCAGAAAAACCTGAAAATGTGGAATTTTCAGAAAAAAAATTTTTGAAAAAAATTTTTTTTTTCAGATTTTTTTGTGGAATGTTGGTGTTTTTGACCCGAAAAACAGCTCTGAATGCACAAAAAATCACTCTAAATCCGGCAGAAAATCGATTTTTGAGCATTTTTCAAAAAATTGGCCAAATGGCGCAGAGGGATTTTCAGCCCGATCTGACGACCCGGGTTCGATTCCACTTGGTGGCGATTTCTTTTGACTTTTGTGAGAATCATTTTTAGACTACTCCAGACTTCTCTAGAGCTGAAATTTTGGATATTCAGACAAATCTGACAATTTCAGAAAAAAAAATTTTCAAAAAAAAAATTTTTTTGGGTGCAAAATTGTTAATCTGCCTCAAAAAAACAGCCCAAAACGCGAAAAATTCGTTTTAGTCGCTAAAAAATCGATTTTCGAGCAATTTTCCGAAAAATGACCATATGGCGCAGAGGGATTTTCGACTACCAATCCGACGACCGGGGTTCGATTCCACGCGGTGGCGATTTCTTTTGATTTTTGTGATGATCATTTTTAGACTATTCCAGACTTCTCTAGAGCTGAAATTTTGGATATTCAGACAAATCTGACAATTTCAGAAAAAAATATTTTTCAAAAAAAAAAATTTTTTTTTCAAATTTTTAATCTCTAACTATCTATCATCATCGCCCCGCTATCTCTAATCATCTCTCTAGCCACGGCTGTGACTACGATGCGGACCCCATCGGCTGCGCCATCCGTCGTCGACCCATGGAATCGGAGGTTTTCGAGCACGAGACGCCTGGAGAGGATGCAGAAGACGTGGAGGAGCATCTGAGGGTCAAAAGGAACACAGAAGCACTGGAGAGAAGACGTCAGGCGATTCTGCGTGGCGAGGAAGAGGGGCAGAGCCACGCGATTCGGGGAGCCGACATTGACGACGAGCAGTATGAACGGTTTTCGGCACTGATATTGTAGGAGCTGATTTGTGGTTTTTCTTATTGATTTATTGATTTTTTTGAATGCTTTTTTTTTTGAGTTTTTTGCATGATTGGGAAAATGGAAAGAAAAAAATTGAATCATTTTGAGCCATTTTTTGGGCTCCAAACTGAAGGGAAAGATTCCAGAGCGATTGCTCAGCTTTAACTTCTATTTTGAATCCTGAAAATTGGACATCTGGACTTCCAGATTGACAGACAGTCGTTTTTTAGAAAAAAAAATCAAAGTTTTGGCCAAGTTTGGGGCGATTGCTCAGCTTAAAAATCGTCCATTTTCCATATCCCATTGATTGCTAATAAGTGTTTTCCCTTCTCTTCTACAGTAATCCTCTTCTCTCTTCTTCGCATAGAATGCTTTTAGAAGATACAGTATGCCTTTTAAGCCCCGCCCCTTTTTTTTTGCACCACACACCACCACCTCACTAACCACGCCCCTTTTTCGAAAAACTAACATTTTCTTCTATTTTTTCATGGTCCTATCCTATCTTTCTTTCTAGGTCCGTTATTTTCAAATTTTAGGCTTGATTTCGGCTGAAAATAGGCTTTTTAGGCCTACAAATGGGTTTTTTGGGCCTAAAATAAGCTATTTTAGGCCCAAATATGACTATTTTTCTGGAATAATATAGGCTTTTTTAGTCTCAGAATAGTCGTTTTTAGGCTTGAAATTGTCTATTTTGGGCCCCAATAATGTCCATTTTCAAGCCTAGAATAGGCTAGTTTGTCCGTAAAATGGGCTATTTCCAAGTCTAAGAAAATGCACATTCTCAGTCTGGAATCGTTATTTTTAGGCTAAAAATAACCTATTTAGTCTTGAAAAAGCCTATTTAAGGTCCAAAATAGACCTATTTTAGGCCTGAAATAGCTGATTTTGAGTCTGGAAATTACCTATTTTTGGCCTAAATTAAATCGATTTCAAGCTCAAAACGCCTCCTATTTTTAGGCTCGAAATAAGCTCTATTCCAAGCCTAATTAAGCCTACTTTTGGCCTAAAAATCGGTCTTAAAAGCCCATTTTCAGCCTAAACTCGTCGAATTTTCAGAGCAAATATTCGTGAGAAGCGATCGATTCAAAACGCCAAAGAACAGGATGAAATGTTGGCGAGAAAAGAGAAAAAATTCTTCAAAAAATCACCAGAGACATCCGGACAAACAGACACACCCAACGAAAAGGACCAGGATATTGGAAAGGAGACGACGGATGAGGAGATTAAGCGACTGTTGGCGGGTGATAAGCAGGAGCAAAATGAGAATGACAGTAGTACCAATTCGACAGTAGCCCCTGAAGCCAAGCCCACAGTGGCTGTGATGGATGAAATTCTGTATCCGGCCAATGTGAATACCATCAATGTGACAGCCAAAGCGACTGGAAATCAATGGTTGTTGGGGAATCTGAAGCACTATACGATTTATGCGGTAGGTTTAGGTGTTTGGAGCGCACAAACAGGCTTGCAGAACAGCTTAAAATGCGCGAAAAACCACCGAAAATTTGGATTATTTTTGAAGGTTTTGAAGCCTCTAAACAGCATTTTTAGCTTTAAAAATGGCTGAAAATGACTATTCCCATAAGAAAAAGCTCGAAAAATGACTGAAAAATCTATTTTTAGGCATTTTTCGAAAAATTGCACGAATGGCGCAGTGGGATTTTGGCTAGCAATCTGACGACCCGGGTTCGATTCCACTCGGCGGCAAACTTTTTTGATTTTTGTGTGGACCATTTTAAAGCTATTTTAGAACTTTCTGGAGCTTGAATTTTGGATTTTCAGAAAAATCTGAAAATTTCAGGAAAAAAAATTTCGAAAAAAATTTTTTTTTTCCAATTTGAATTTGAATTTCAAAATATTTAGTGTCAAAAATGGCATAAAACGCGAAAAATCGCATAGAATCCCCCGAAAAATACGATTTTTAGGCATTTTCCGCAAAATTGCACGAATGGCTCAGTGGGTTTTTCAGCACAATCTGACGACCCGAGTTCGATTCCACTCGTGGCAAACTCTTTTGATTTTTGTGTAGACCATTTTTAGACTATTCTAGAATGTTCTAAAGCTGGGAATTTCGAAAAATCTGGAAAAAAAATTGCTGAAAATTTCAGATTTTTCAAAATTCTCAAAAACTTCAGCTCTAGAACCGTCTAAAAATGGTCCTCACAAAAATCAAAAAAGTTTGCCGCTGAATGGAATCGAACCCGGGTGTTGAGATTGGTACGTTGAAAATCCCACTGAGCCATTTTTGCATTTTTCGGGAAATTGCTCAAAAATCGCAAAAAATGCATATTTTAATGATTTTTCGTGTTTTTCGCGGTTTTGAAATGTTTTGGGACCTCAAATTCTGCGATTTGTCTTATGCTCCCTTTAAAAATGAGCAATTTTGCAGATCACAATCCAAGCATGCCAAAACACCTCGAACTTCCCGCACTACTGCTCCGTCCCACATAAAGCGGCGACCAAGAAACGAACTCTAGCCAAACCGGACATTGATAAGGTGGACCAATCGACAATTATGACGATTCAAGATAAGCAGGAACCCAATAAGGTTCATATCACTTGGAACCATCCGGATGAGACGAATGGAGGCGTTTTGGGATACATGGTTACTGTAAAGAACAGCATGGAGATCCCTGTGTGTGTACCGAATACCAAAGGTTTCGATCCAACCACCCATGGTACCGTATTCCGCGATTTGTCCGAAGGAAGCTATGAGTGAGTTTTTGAGGCTTTTCGAGCTTTCAAACAGCTTTATAAGTGTCAAAAGTGGCTATAAATTGACTCAAAACACCTGAAAATTCTGAAAACCTGCGAAAAATTACCGAAAAAAGCGATTTTTAGACATTTTTCAAAAAATTGCACAAGTAGCTCAGTGGGATTTTCGATAGCAATCTGAAGGCCACGGTTCGATTCCACTCGGTGGCAAACTCTTTTGATTTTTGTGTGGACCATTTTTAGACTATTCCAGAAGGTTGTACAGCTCGAATTTTAGGATTTTCAGACAAATCTGAAAATTTCAGACAAAAAAATTTTTAGGCAAAATTTTTTTCAATTTTTGTCTTAAAATCGTTACTCTCTTACGAAAATACGCGAAAAATCAATATCTCATCCTTTTTTTGCAATTTTTGAGCGATTTTAGGCCGTTTTACTGAAAAATGACCAAATGGCGCAGTGGGATTTTCCACTACCAATCTGACATTCCGGGAAAAAAATCTGAAATTTTCAGATAAAAAATTTTTAGAAACAAATTTTTTTTCAATTTTTAAAGTTAATTCACTACGTTAGATCTCTTTTTCATGCGATTCCCGACATTTTGATACCGATATCGACCTAGTTTAGTGACTTCTGAAATTCTGAATTTCGACGTCTTCTGAATTCCAAATTCCAAAAAATTCTTCAAAGTACGGCAACATGGGTATCAAAATGACGGAAATCGCACGGCAAGAAAAGTTAACGATGTGAAAAGTTCAGAAAGTTACGTTTTGAAGAATTTAGGAGACTATTTTTGAAAAGCGACTATTTTTTTCAGAATCGGAATCGTCACCTACTCGGCAGCGTCGAACGGTGAACGTGTGAAGCGTCAGGCGATGTACGAAGTGTCGATGCCAAGCTTCTGGCTATGGTGGCGTCTGCTCCTCGTCGGCCTCTTCATCTTCTGCCTGATCGCAGCGATCGCTGGCGTCGTCTACTACAACGTCAGGTACAAGTTTGGAAAGCGTGTCAAGAAGTTGGCCGATTTCATGCACATGAATCCGGAGTACTGTGTGGACAACAAGTATACCATTGACGATTGGGAGCTGGAGAAGGAGTCGGTGACACTGGGAGAGGTCATTGGACAGGGTACATTCGGAAAGGTCTATCTGGCACAGGGAAAGAAGTGTGTGTCGATTCGAGGCGATGCGTTTGGCCCATGCGCCGTGAAGATTAATACGGAGGAGGCGGCAGAGTCACTGGAGAATATGAACTATTTGATGGAGGCGAATGTGATGAAGAATTTCAAGGTGAGATTGGGAGTGTTTGAAGTCATTTTCCAGAAGAAGAAATGCTCAAAATGAGCTATTTTGGGCTGAAAATGGTTTAAAATGAGCGATGTTAAGCCAGGAGGTAAACCACTCGGCGCCAAAATTGTGATTTTTCGCTATTTTACAATCGAAATTGCTAGTTTTGAGCTTGAAAACGAGAAAGAGAGACTCGAAAATCCCCAGAATCCAGATTTTGGGCGATTTTGGGCGATTTTAAGCATATTTTCAAAAAATGGTACAAATGGCTCAATGGGATTTTCAACTACCAATCTCAACACACGGGTTCGATTCCACTCGGTGACAAACTCTTGTGATTTTTGTGTGGACCATTTTTTGACTATTCTAGAATGTTCTAGAGCTCAAATTTTGGGATTTTCAGAAAAATCTGAAAATTTCAGAAAAAAAAAATGTTTCAAAAAAAAATTTTTTTTTTTGGATTTTCAGCCAATTTTTATCTAAAAATTTGAATTTCCAGACCACATTCATCGTCAAACTGTTCGGTGTCGTATCGAGTGTCCATCCTGCGTGGGTGGTCATGGAATTCATGGAGCTGGGAAATCTCCGCGACTATTTGAGAGCCAAGCGAGAGGAGGAGGTAGGCAATTGTCGATAATTTAACGATTTTTCGTTCCAGATTATCGATTTTTGAACCCGAAAAATCGATATTTTTGCAGGTATTCGACGAGAACAACTGCAATTTCTACAACATTGTGCCGCGGGAGAAGATTTGCGAGTGGGCCGCCCAGATTTGCGATGGAATGGCCTATCTGGAATCGCTGAAATTCTGTCATCGAGATTTGGCAGCCAGAAACTGTATGATTGATAAAACGGAATTGGTGAAAATTGGAGATTTCGGAATGGCCAGAGACTTGTTCTATCACGACTACTATAAGCCGTCCGGAAAGAGAATGATGCCTGTCAGATGGATGTCGCCGGAATCGTTGAAGGTGAGCAGTAGGATTCAGCTAGAATTGGAAAAGAGCTAAACATTAGATGGATTTTTAAGCTGAAAATCTTGAAAATTGGGTCATTTTGAGCTGAGATATGGTCAACAGAATTTTTAGCGTTTTAAGCCTAGAAAAGTGACATTTTTGAAGCTTTTCGAGCGTCCAAACTGCAAAATTAGTGTCAAAAATGGCTTAGAACGCGGAAAATCGGAAAGAACTCGTCGAAAAATCGATTTTTAAGCGATTTTAGAAAAATTGTCCAGATGGCGCAGTGGGTTTTTGGATAGCAATCTGACGACCCGAGTTCGATTCCACTCGGTGCCAAACTTTTTTGATTTTTGTGTGGACCATTTTTACACTATTCTAGAGCTCTCTAAAGCTGGAATTTTGGAATTTTCAGAAAAATCTGAAAGTTGCAGACAAACATTTTTTTGAAAAAAATTTTTTTTTAAGATTTTTTCGTCTTCAAACGTTTTTATTAGAGAAAATGTGCGAATGATCGATTTTTAGACACCTTTTTGAGTAGTTTTGAGCTTTTTTTGAGCCAAAAATTGTGACACCTGACTTATCGCCAAAATTTTCATTTTTGGATGGTTTTTGGCCATTTTACACTTGAAATTGCTTATATATGAGCTCAAAAATGGATATTACGGACCCAGAATTTCACATAATCAACTTTTTCAGACAATTATCGCCTATTTTAAGCGATTTTAGAAAAATTGCACAGATGGCTCAGTGGATTTTGAGCATTTTCCGCTACCAATCTGACGACCCGGGTTCGATTCCACTCGGTGGCAATTTCTTTTGATATTTGTGTGGATCATTTTCAGACTATTCCAGACTTCTCTAGAGCTGGAATTTTACGATTTTCAGAAAAATCTGAAATTTTCAGACAAAAAATTTTTTTGAGAAAATTTTTTTTTTTTGATTTCAAAATGAATTTTTAGCGGAAAATTTGATGAAAAACGGTCCTGAAACTCCAATAATCGATATTTTCAGTCATTTTAGGCGATTTTACAAAAATTGCACTAATGGCTCAGTGGGGTTTTTGATAGCAATCTGACGACTCGGGTTCGATTCCACTCGGTGGCAATTTCTTTTGATTTTTGTGTGGACCATTTTCAGACTATTCCAGACTTCTCTAGAGCTGGAATTTTACGATTTTCAGAAAAATCTGAAATTTTCAGACAAAAAATTTTCGAAAAAAAATTTTTTTAAATGTTTTTCGCCCTTTTTCATAATTTGTCACTATTTAGGACGGCAAATTCGACTCGAAATCCGACATTTGGAGTTTCGGAGTGGTCCTCTACGAGCTGATCACCCTCGGCGCCCAACCCTACATTGGTCTATCCAACGATGAAGTTTTGAATTACATCGGAATGGCGAGGAAGGTGATTAAGAAGCCGGATTGTTGCTCAGAGTATTGGTACAAGATTATGAAGATGTGCTGGAGATACGCGCCCAGGGACCGTCCGACGTTCCTTCAGCTGGTCCATCTGCTATCAGCCGAAGCGTCGGAGGAGTTCAAAACTCTGTCGTTCGTGTTCACAGAGAATCAGATGGCCATGGAGGACACGGAACCACTGGATTTGGATGAGATTTATAACTATAATCCGCCTGAGGAGCTGGACCCGGCTGCTATGGATGCGCAGGTCATGGAGGAGGAGAGGAAGGGCGGTAGAAGGATGACTGACTCGATCCCGATGAAAGAGTTCAAGAGTGATGGATTGAGGAAGAATGGAGGAGGCACTGGTGGGGGTAGTAGTCATTCGACGATCTCGATGGGTTCCACGATGATTCCTATGAAGGTAGGGGCTTTAAAATGAGCCATTTTGGGCTGAAAATGGTTGAAAATGAGTGATTTTAAGCCAAGAGGTAAACCTCTCGGCGCCAAAATTGCGATTTTTAGCTAGAATACAGTCAAAATTGCTAGTTTTTGAGATTACTGCTAGTTTTCAAGCTTCTTGAGCTTCAAAATGAACTGTTTGCAGCTGAAAACGGGTAACAATGAGCGATTTTAAGCCAAAAACCAACTACTTGACTCATCTCTAGAAATCTTCATTTTTGGCGCATTTTACAGTTGAAATTGATAGGTTTTGAGCCTAGAATGCACTAAAACACATTCAGAAACCTCAAAACCCCTTTTTTCTGGAAGTGTTCAGCCATTTTTGAGCATTTTTTCGAAAAATGCAAAAATGGCTCAGTGGGATTTTCGATAGCAATCTGACGACCCGGGTTCGATTCCACTCGGTGGCAAACTTTTTTGATTTTTGTGTAGATCATTTCTAGACTATTCCAGAAGGTTGTACAGCTCGAATTTTGAATTTCTAGAAACATCTGAAAATTTCAGCCAAAACGTCGCCAGGGCAGTCTCGACGAGGAGTACACGCTGATGAATCACAGTCGTGGACCGAGTGACACTGAAATTCGAACGTATACAGGAGACGAGGGAGACTATGTGGAGCGAGACGTGGCAGCAGATGTGCCTACGGTAGGTGTGAGGGGGCGGGGCTTAACAAATTTCAGCCAAACATTTTTTTTTGCCCAAAAGTAGTCGTGTTTGGGCTCATTTCAAAGCTGATGAGCTCTCGAATTCGAATATCTGCATTTCCAGCTGTTTCAGACGACAGAAAAGAATTTCAGACAAAAAAGATTTTCAGCCAAAAAAGATTTTCAGCCAAAAGAAAAATTTTTTTCAGAAATTTTTTTCTTTAAAAATATTAGTTTTTGGGCTCATTTTGAAGCATTTTCAGCGACGAAACACTGGCGCCAGCAATTGCAGCTACACGGGCGGTCCATACTGCCTGACGAACCGAGGCGGGTCCAACGAGCGAGCTGGATTCGGAGAGGGACTACGGTTGACAGATGGTGTTGGGTCTGGTGGACACCTTCATGAGGATAGCTACTATTCGGATAACCAGCTGAATTCTATGGATACGGTAAGGATGAGCTATCAGGAAAAATTCGAAAAAATTTGCAAAAATACTCTCGAAATCGACCAAAAATGGCTCGAAATGACCCAAAATTTCAGCGCCGCAGCACTGGAGCATCGACAGCGTCCTATGGAGCACCACCCCAGACGAAATGGAGTGGATCGCAGACCAAAGGAGCCACCTATTTCGAGAAACAGAAGCAAATGCAGGCGGCGGCAGAAGCAGCCGCGAAAAAAGCGAAACTCAGTGGTGTCGGGGATCATCCAGTGGTTATACCCACTGGTTTCAATGGGGATCCGGATTATACGGAGACGGAGCCACCGCTGAGCAAAGGATCGCCTTCGGTACGCTTGAAATTCGAGAAAAATTGAGGAAAAAGGGTGAAAATGAGCTGAAATGAGCTAAATCCGAAAATTTTCATTTTTGACTCATTTTCACTTATTTCACAGCGAAAATAGTCAGTTCTAGAGCTCGAAAACGAACTTAACGCACCCGAAAACCCCCAAAATCCACTTTTCTGGCGATTTTGACCGATTTTTAGCTATTTTTCCGAAAATTGCACGAATGGCGCAGTGGGATTTTGGGGCCGATCTCAACACCCGGGTTCGATTCCACTCAGTGTCAATTTTTTTTGATTTTTGTGTGTGCTATTTTTAGACCATTCTAAAATATCTTAGAGCTAGAATTTTGGGATTATCAGAAAAATCTGAAAATTTCAGAAAAAAAATTTCGAAAAAAAAATTTTTTTTTGAAAGTTTTCATTGCATAAAACGTGAATGATTGAAAAATTTGCAAAAAAAATGAGCTGAAATGAGCTAAAGACTATTCCAGACTTCTCTAGAGCTCGAATTTTGTGATTTTCAGAAAAAATCTGAAAATTTCAGACAAAAAAATTTTTTTTGAAAGTTTTCATTGCCTAAAACGTTAATGATTGAAAAATCCGCAAAAAAAACGTTCCTCAACATTTTTGACCATTTTTCGCCATTTTTAGGCGATTTTTCAAAAAATTACACGAATGGCACAGTGGGATTTTGAGGCCAATCTCAACACCCGGGTTCGATTCCACTTGGCGGCAAACTTTTTTGGTTTTAGTGTAAACCATTTTTAGGCTAATCGAGAAGGTCCTAGAGCTCAAATTTTAAGATTTTCAGAAAAATCTGAAAATTTCAGACAAAAAAAATTAGCAAAAAAAAAATTGTTTTCGTTTTAAAACTATTTTTTGGCCTAGTATCCAAGGGTACATCGAAAAAGGGTACATCGAGTTCTTAGGGTACATTGGTTCCAAGGGTACATTGGATTGTTCGGTACATGTAGGTGGACAAAAAAAG